AATATTCATCTATAGCGTAATTAAATTGTAATGGGAAATATTAATTGATTAAATATAAAAAGTAAAAATAAAATTCTGATGTTGCTAAAAGTTTCGTAAAAATGTTGAAAAATACGGATAATTTAACATCGAATACATGAGTATAAAATTTAAATGAAATGATATTGATATGTATCAACACTTAAAATTAACACTGTGCTTGTTCTTAAAATGTAAAATATTCGCAGCCATTTTTAAACATGAAAGATATAAATTTGAACATAAAAATTACAAGATAATCATTTATTATTCTAAATCGTGCAATCCTGATTTTTGATCTGTATACATACGTATATATTTTAGTATACAATATTTACAATTATCTGGACAGGATATGGTGGTTAGCCGCAAGTTCAAATACCGCTGAAAAACCGCCATTTTACAGGCAGCTGACGACATTGGCGCTGTCGTGTCGCGAATCATCCCATAGTAAGCCGGTGAAGAATTCTCATCTGTTTTTATAAATATTGTACTTTGTTTCGTGTACCTAAATGCAGTGCAAACTGTAAACAGCGTCCAAGTGAGACGTTTTCGTTCCTCTTAGTGAGCGCAGCTGGTGAAAGTTTCATTTCAGAGCCTTTTAACAAGAAGAAGAAATTCGCACAAATTTTCTGAACTTTCCAACATGCGCGAATGTTTGAAGTGTTAACATGGCGCCGAAACATGACTGGTCATGACGGGGGAATGAGAACGAAATTTTTGAGGTTAGTTATCATTTTGTCATTTAAGTATTGTCGCATATCGTTAATTTGTTGTACAATTAGCCGCATTAACTTTATGGATCACACGATAGAGAAATGTACGGTGTACATTTAGCAATATTTTATTACCATTGCAGAAAACACGTGTCACATTGTATAATTTACCCGTTGTTTTTATAATGATTTAGCAGAACGTTTCGATAGTAATAATAGCTGCATTATAAATATCAAGTTAAACGAAGGATATTTGCATTGTTTGTTAGGTTGCTTCATTTTTTATACATTTTATCGTAGATACCATAGATTACATAAATTGATGCAATGTTATTGAAATTTCAATACTGCTTTTTGTTTCATCTTTTCTTAATGCTTTTATATCAGTTTTTTAATGCGATAGATAACCTTTCTTTTAATCTTCATAATATTACGTGTTTCCAACTTTATAGTGATGAAAAATCTTTATAATAACGGATGAATTAACAAAAATATAAGGAAAATATGTTTATATGTAGCAATATATACTTAATGATAATTAATTTTAATGTATGCTAAACTAATGACTGATACTATATATTTTATTCATATACAATCATATTGATAATATACTTATAATATTTTGTATTAATTATAATATAATAAAG